CGCTCGTTTTAAAATTTTATCTGTTTTGTCTATCATACTGTCATCTTTTTTCTCACAATTATTTGTAACGGGTTTTCTGTAATAAAAATGACAAAATATATTTTCCTTATATTCACAGATATTGACATTTAAACATTGAAGTACTGTACCTTGATATCTTTTCATTACGTCTACGTTTGAATGTTGGTTTGGTAGATATTTTTTCTCTAGGTGGAGCTTGCTGTTCAAGTTTCCGCTTTTCTTTCTTGGTATGCTTTCTCATAGTTAACATATAATCGGGAACATTGCAACCAGACTCTTTCATTACAGCAGCTATACTAAAATTTCAATGCAATCTAATTGGTAGAGATTCTATTAATTCGGAAGATGAATACTTACCTTCTTAGATTCGGAGTATCTTGTTCAGTAAAAAATGTAACTGCCTTTCCTTTATGACCGGCTCTGCCAGTACGACCTATTATTCGTATATGTCAAGAAGTTAATAATAGATAATAGTAATAGAAACTTCAGACATACGTGTGTACAATAAATTTGGGAGTACATACCAATTCTGTGAATGTAGGAAATAACAGATGGTGGGAAATCGTAATTAATGACAAGATTTACACCTTTAAAATCAATACCTCTCGCCATTAATTCAGTACATATTAATATCCAGATCCTTCCTTCTCGAAAACAACGAACAACGTTATCTCTCTAGAACGTTAACAAGAATTAAAAGACAAAGGATAATAGATTCCAGTATAGATTAAAAAAAACATGATCTTGTTGATACTTCGTATAATAAATTCTACAAAATAAATACCTGTGTTTGTGTTCTGTCAGCATGAATAACATCTACATTAACTCCGTCATATATAAGCTCATTAAATAATTCTTGAGCTCTTTCTTTACTCTGGACAAATACTAGTACAGGTGGTAGTACTCCCTTTACAGAATGGAACAGTAAATTAATTCAATTGTATAGTACATAAAGATTGAAGAAAAATGAAAATCCATACATACAATATTACCTTTTGAATAATATTTCTAAGTGCTACAAGTTTTCCTCTTTCCGTTCCAACGAATAAAAGCTCTTGTTCCACTAAATCGGTAGCAGCGTTTCTATATCGAAAGAAAGGTTTCAATAAATTGAATTATAAATTATATTATATAAATTGTTAATAAAGAAAATAAACTTATTGATTACTACATACCTATGACCAACAGTAACCATTACAGAACCTTTTAGATTTTGTCGACACCATTTTGTCACGACCGGCGTGTTAGTTGCACTAAACATCGCAGTGCGTAAATTCGGATTTGTACATGCTTTTGAAATTTCTTCTAATTGATCTCTAAAGCTCCGCGTCCCGTCCTCAAAAAGTTTATCTGCTTCATCTACTATTAGCCATTTGACGCTATCAAAATATTATTTCATGTGTTTAATACAATTTATTAAAATAAAATTTGAACGAATTTAAAATTCATAATGCAAATGAATTGTATTTATAGCACTTACTTGCTTAAGTTAATAGCTGGTGGATCCTGATTTAAGAGAAATATTACTCTTTTCGGAGTAGTAATCAATATATCTGTAACATAACATTAGAATAGCATTTAGTCAATGAACACAAATTACTGGAATTAAAATTTTGTACATACTAACCAAATTTCTGTGAACTTTGAGGCCCATATTTGTTTAATGCTTGACTAATTTTGCTGATAATATGTATTTTAAAGTTATAACCTTCACTAAGGCGTACACATTCCCTGTATGTTTGTTTAGCTAATTCCCTTGTGGGGCTTAAAATAACAGCCCTGAATCCTTTCTTTCGTGGTCCACCTAAACAGTGGATTATGGGCAATAAAAATGCAACTGTTTTACCAGATCCTGTTGGTGCGCAAGCCAACATTTGTCTGCCCTGTTTCCCAATATAATGATGGTAAATGAGAAATATTCCATAAGTTGTTAAAATTTAAAATAACATTTAAAATATTACGAGTTATAAGCTACATTTATTTTACTTGCAACATAACAGGCATAGCTTGCATCTGAATTGGTGTAGGATGTTCGTAACCACAATTTACAATATTATTTATCAAATGCTTCGTTACACCAAAATTTTCAGACAATTCCATAAATGTTGAGATAGGTTTAGGTATACGTGCGCCTGTAACTCTTATGCGATGTTGATTTCGAAATTGATTAATCTACACAAAGTAAAATAACTTCATGAAACATATTTAACGTTAAAGCCTTTTAGTCTAAAATAAGAAAATGTTTTATACCGCTTCCTGCTGTAGTTTTAATTGCTTCTCTGTAGACAAAGATTCTTTATACTTTTTAGATTTTATTTTACTTCCATCTCCGGGGACCGTTATACCATCGAGTAGTACTAATTGACTAATGTTTTCTGTTTCATTGTCAATTACGTCATGCTTCCTTTTAATAGATGTTGATAAACAATTTTCACCATTAGGTATTTCAATATGCGTTTCTTCGGTTATAACCGCATCTTCTGATCGTTTCTTAACAAGCTATAAAAAATTAAAACATTTATAAAACTATTTCTAGATGTTTTTCGAATGTCTATATTGATTAACCTAACACTTTCCATAAATACCTGAAATCTTTGTGCATCGGCAAGAAAACGTTTTTTATTAAATTGAACACCACTAGAAAGCTTTTGAAAAAGTTCATAAGCATCCATTTTCACTTTTTGTTTAGTCGTTTGTATAAAACTTCAATACATGTGTTTATAACCGTTACAGCCTCTACTACTTCTAATAACAACTTGGTTAACTAGGTTAGGTTCTAACGTTGCTCTCGTGCGCAACAAGTGAGACAGGAAGAAAGATACTGGGTCAGGATCTGAATTACCGACTCTGTAGAAAGTACTGTGGTACAATAGCTAATAAGATACGCGTACAAAAATGACCGAAAAGCTAAATACGCATCTCAAGCATGTAAACAGATATTTTTATAATTATTTATAATAATTCTAATTTTTTTAGCGGCGCAGATTGAGGAATACAGTGCCGTTTTTTAAAATAACTTCTTAACCATAACAGACATTGGCACGTGATTTGGTCACAATAATATACAAATATTACGTGACAAACAGCTTTGAAAAATCATAAAAAATTATATCAGAAATATCTAATTTATTATTGCCATTACACAATTTGTCTAAGTACTCAATTATTTTTGTGGATATTTTTATTCGTATGCTAGATGCGAAAGGATCAGAATAATTCTAAGATGTCCAAATGTGAACAGAGACTGGAGAGTCGAAGATTATCTATATCATAGCACAATCATGCCTCACCGTAGTAAGCGAGGCGGGAGCAACCAGCTTACAAATATAAAGCAGGTAGAGAAATCTGATTGGTTGATGCTAAACAGTGCTGCCCTTACGGTTCTAAACAAAGAGGGGAAGTGGCGAGTGAGCAACAGAGGACGAGAGTACGATATCAACACAACCACAAGCGAAACAAGTCACATCGACGACCAATGTAGCTTGTCTCACTTTATCGTGCCACATGCCTGAAAGATAGCTGAAATAAAATATGGCTTTCTATGGTTGAAGGATGAAGGTAGGAAGAGGTCATGGCTCGGTTCATTCACAGTCTGAGGACGAGCCTTACGCGCAGAGGGTGTGAAGGAACAGTTTTCTGTACTTTTTCCATCAACCTTAGAATTTTAAGACGTCGAACATCGAGAAAAAATGACACTTTTTAGGTAGGAGGTCCTCGAAACTCAACGCCGATAGCACAACGGATGGATTGCAGATGTGGTGACGAAGGACAAAGGCTGGAACCGAAGTCACGTTTTCCTGCGAGGACAAGAGTTAATTCGTTATTCTTGTTCGAATCGTTTTGACGGCGTAACAATGGCAATATTTATAAAACAATGAAACAATTTGCCTTGATAGTTCTATTCAGCAAAATTCCACGAGAACATGAGATAATAGCTTACCGTTAGTGAGAATAGAAGTAGTAATTTCTTTGCTTTGATAGACTTTGAATTCAATGCTAAGACAAGATTCGCCGCGAATTGGATGCGTAGAAATAGTGGGGATGTTCGCAAAAGTTAAGGGAGATAGAAAAATCGTGCAAAACCTGAGGTATTATTGTAGTCAGTTACCGACTTGGAAAAGCTAGTTATCAGATCGGTAATTGATTAACAGTTTGATCATTTTGCCACGAGAGACGACACCAGTACTATACATACATTTGCTCTGGCTGCAGGGTCATTGAAAAACATTAATTATAGCATAATTAGGGTAGGAATATATTAATCAAGGTCATAGAACTGTTCAGGAGAATCTGTTTCATTGATTCACGTAAAAAATAACAGATGAGAATACATAGTAAACTTCAGGAAGTAATTAATTCTGATTTTTAGTGTTTTCATTGTTCTTTTTATGTGATATCGATACATTAGAATCTCTTAAACAATCCTGTGCCCTTGATTTATTTTCATAAGACGTAATTATGCCATAGTTAATATTTTTTAGCTGCATTGTGTACATGCGGGAGATTTAGTTTGGGCGTTTACCGCTATGCGTGATACTGTTTCGTGGTCCATAAACGGACCACGGAAAAAACTGGTGTGATTACCGCTTTTTCTCGATGGTAGGAACAAAACAAAGTCTCATCGTGCTGTAATTTTTATTTTCCATTATTTCCTATATTGATATTACCTTGCGACTATGGCGAGTTCTGTTAGTACAAATCCATCGACTTTATTGCCTCTAGGTAAGCGATTACGTTTCGCCGATAAGTTTCTAACCTTACCTAATTCGAATGTTACATTATTCTACTTTGTTTATTCGTAGAGTTAGTTGACAAGTGTATCGGTTCTCGGATACATATTATTATGAAAAATGATAAGGAAATCGTCGGCACTTTGTTGGGCTTCGACGACTTCGTAAATATGCTGCTCGAGGACGTGACGGAAAGCGAAGCAACCCCAGAAGGACGAAGAGTGACAAAGCTCGATCAGATTTTGCTCAACGGTAGCCATATCACGATGGTTAGCAAATAATTTGTAGAGATAAGGATTTCTTCGATGAAATTACAATTACAATTCTTACATTCACAATTCACATTTGTGTTGCAGCTTGTACCTGGTGGAGAAATGCCTGATACGTAAAGCTATATTCCCACGTTCTATTTTGTATAATAAAAATGTAAACGTTAAGTTAATCGTCTGTATAATAAGAGATTTAAGGTATCTTATATTTAATATTACCAAGCAGAATAAATATCACTGTGCTACATCATCGCATCAATTTCTTTAACAATATCGATGGTGATAGGTCTATCCTTAACGTCTTGCGACCACATCTTTCTGTACAAACTTTTATAAGCGCCTTTGAATTCGTCATTTAGCTTGACGTCTTCTGGACGGTTACCCTTTGCCGATAGATAAATCACTGTATGACTATGTAAGCCGGCAAATGGTATTTTTCTAGATAACATTTGCCAGGCTACGATACCAAGAGAATAGATGTCCGCTGCAGGTGTTGGCTTGCATCCTTTCAATACTTCTGGTGCTGTATAACCAGGAGTACCCTAAGAAAATATTGTTTCAAATTTAAGAAAGAAAGTAGCAACTTATTAACCCTTTGTGGACGACATCGGTACGCTGTACTGATTCTGATAAATATCCAGAAGCGATTATACAGGTTTAGATCATTAAATACAATATACTTTCAAGCATTATGCCTTGCTTTAGAGAATTTAAAGATAACTATGAAAAATATCAAAATGTCTAAATCACCATCAGATTGTGGTAATATGTGTAACATTGTGCAACAACGATTGTATAGAGAGAAATCGTCAATTGTACGTTGTCCGCGAAGGGTTAAAGAAATCGGGAAACGTACATGAGAATCAAAGGATTCGTTCGAGTTTCTCATCGATACAGAGCTACCAAAATCGGTGAGCTTTGGCTGATTATCTCTAGACATTAGAATATTCTTCGGTTTCACATCTGCATGCACGATACCGGCGTTGTGACAAAATTGCAGAGCGTACATCATATCCTTTAGTATGGAAACCCTTTCAATTTTAGTCAACTTATCCTCGTCTAAACGATCTTGTAAAGTAGTACCACATAATTCCATCGTTATCAAAGATAGGGAAGCTCCTTGTTCTATCATCAGAACCTTTACTATGTTAGAATGTTTTAAGAGCGAAGCGTGCTTCTCAGAATTCAATGCATCTGTACACTTGCCAGTTTGCATTACTTTGGCTGCTACCTGATCACCTACAGAACATTTGATGTATACGAATAATAGGGATATTTCCGAGCATTTGTATGATATTTATCAATAAGATAATTAACGGATTGCTGAATTTTCAAAATTGAGATATCGATGATTTTATGTCTACAATTGGATGACTCTTTATGTAATTCGAATCGTTAATACATTTTACCTTTATAGGAAGCTTTATAAACAGTGCCGAACGCACCACTGCCAAGGACGGTACCACGTTTACTTGGAAGTCCATCTTCCAGTATTTTTCTTCTGTTAGGTGTATCAAGATTGAAAGGGGACAATCGATTGTTATTTTCAACGATTTGTTGACAAGTTTTTCCTGGTGTTTTTGGACTTAGGAATTGTCTATAACGGTGCAAGTTAAAACATTTTTACACGGCTGAAGTGAATTTTAGGACGTTTAGAACATTACCTTCTTTCCACAATTTTTAATGCATGTGGCGATATGTTGCACAACGTAGTAGCTAATTTTCGAGGCGAGGCCATTTTGCCGATACAATATTACATTTGTCCGGTTTCTCGAACGTTACAGTTAACGATGTAAACAGATGAAGATAAACAACGTTAACGTAGCCATGGTCGTGTGTCGCAGTCCTAGGATGAAAGTAACACTAGTTGGTAGGATGATGTGAAAAAATCGTGAAAGTAGAGGGCCATTGAAATGTTTTTATTTCTCTGCATTCTAATACAAGGCGTGAACCATGTACTAGGAGCCTATTACTAATTATTACTCTTTAATACTGTACGATAACTAGATTATTTACACGTTTTCTTTTAAATGAACTCATAACAATTGATACTTATTTCAATAATCTCTCAATATAGATAATATCTGCAGTATGCATATAATAACATGTTGATGTACTAGACATAAACACATCTAATGAAATTCCGTGTTAAAAAGTTGATGCTAATACTCTAATTATGCTCGTAAGTACTGCCAGTAGTTCTTACAGCGACTCTGGATCTCTATCACAATTACATAGCACAGTGTTCTTCGATTCGAAATTGATGTCTTCATGTATATAAATTAATAGTAGTAGGTAATGCAACAATAGATCGAGTTTCACGGAAATACAACACGTAAGAGTAGAATTCATTTATCATTCGACAAGGTACCTTTAGCTCGACAAGGATTAGTAAAATATCTTCAACGAATAAAAATAGTATGTCTTTTCTCTTTGAAACTACATATTTCGCGCTCAAAATATTTATCTGTTTAGTTGTTCTTTCTTTGTTGCACGTATCTCTCGCATATAATAAGATATACACGTGTATGCACATGTATATGTATATGTGTACGTATATATTATTTAATATTACAGCTTGGTCTCTAAAAAGTGTAGAAACTTTACACTTGAAAAAACTAACGACTACTGTAAAATTAATAGTTACTGAGGCGACGTATCTACCAATACTGATCATTTTTTTTTTATACTGAAATTAAAATACATTGGAGGAGAGATGCATAAGAGCTGAATACACGTGCGCGATTATTCGGTCGTCGCTATATCGAAGTTTGCTTATATTCTATCTTCTTTGAAATAAATACACGATCGATTCGTGTCAAGACGTCCTCCGAGCGTGAACTCGAGTGAAAGTCGTATTTAAAAGTTGACTCGAACTCGATTTCTCGGAGGTAATTCAGATAATATTCTGGAATCGTTAAGCTTCTTCTCCCTGGGTTTAATGATATTATCAGGTACGTCTCTGAATAGATTTTTGTTTGTCACAGTGTACCATATTACCATATATTATACATACATATCCGACGGTATTCTAATTCGTGCAACGTAATGTCGATAAAAACGAAAGTGAATCGAGTTTTCGGTGGCTATACGCTTATGAGAGTATGAATTAACTTTCTACTACAAATATCACGGAGTATTCGAAGGAGAATTCGTTCGGGCGAAGAAGAAGATTTTGATCGATCGTACGACAAAATTCTCTTTTGAGTCCTCGCGTGACTCGTTTACGACGGAGACGAGAGAGTGTCGTTTGTTCGCAACGGTTCAATATACTTTTACTTTGAAATCACTTGGAAAATACCGATTTCCATCTAGGAAAAACAGCGATTACGACTTTAGAGCGTATTCAACAGATATATTGCTAAATGATTGTAATCGTTCGCACGCGGTGCTAACAAGTGTGTGCCACGGTCCCAAAGAAATTCGAGCTCTATCCCTAATATTGATCGATATGAGAACAACTAACGAGAATCGCTATCCGGACATCTCTTTGTAAAAAGATTCGTTATCATTCGACCACGCGGTTGTCACGTGGACGGACCAGCACCATTAATGAATCCGCGATCTTTGCGATTTGGCACTTTTCGTAATCCCGTTAAAGTGCCGTTCACACAGACCAATTTTCCTGAGCAACGTGTCGTTCATCACCATACTTTAAGAGGCACTCGGAGGCACCCTTTCTCCCTACCGACTCCAACAAGGGTGAAACACATCGCAAACTTCGATTACCGATATATTAGATAGCGTATAGGTACTCCACACGCTTGGGGGAGTCGCACGCCATTCCGCGCAAAGATTACAATGCCAAACGGGAACCCGAGTCGAGCCGAATCGAACGGAACCGAACAATTATTTCTCTTGTCACGGGCGTAGCAAATGAAAAACTGCGATCGTTATCGTCGAAGCAGATTTCACGCGTTTCCACGCGATTTTTCAACTTGTTTTGATACATCGATAGAGCCAAGGAATTAACGTTTCATTCGAATTTCGTTAGACTAGTATTTAGGCTTTTCTTTTTGCTCGTTATTCAATTGTTTACCGCGACGTTGCAAGTTTTGTGCACGGTGCATTCTGCTCGATACTGGAAAAATATCATGTTTTTTTTTTTACAGAATATATTACACACATGTATACGATATACATATATCATTTATTTGTCGCAATTTCAAATATTCTAGCAAAAATAATGAATTTATTATAGCCTAATGCACCTTCTTTCTCGTGGACAGATTACCGGCCTCTACCTATCGATCGTAGATAGCGACACACCTTATATTCTATTCGGATAATACATATAACTCGACATAGTCTAACAGCCTCTGTCCCGGTCCCGAGTACCCATACACATCCAAGATACATGTAAAAAGAGATTCCGACGTTTCACCTCTATACAGTGTATCGATTATGTACAAGTTTCGTAATACAAAATAATCTTTACGAATTTAACGAGTTAACCAACATCTCTTTGCGAGGCATCGGAACAATCCCTGTTTTTATCTACCCCCTTTATCTATGCCCTCGTTCGCAATTCATCGGTCTACATATCGGCTCTCCCACGAAAATAGACTCTGTCTACTCGACGAACTCACGCTCCTCCGATGGGGGAACAATTTCGTGTGAATTGTGGAAAGATGCAGCGGATAATCGAAAAGGGAGATACAGGAGAAGGCGGAGAGAAAAGGGAGACTGAGAAATTGTGGAAAGTGAGACAAGAGAAAGATGAGAAAGACGAGGAGTAGTGTAGAGGTATGTTCGGAGCAAGTCGAATAAGGCACTATCTAACCAGGTAACGGAGCTTCCTCGTAGAAGTCTGGCTCGTCCTCGAAACTCTCGTGGTCGGAGCCCTTGCTGTCGAGTGCCCTAAGCTCGGCGACGTTGAAAAAGTGGCTCATCTGAGCCCTGAGCGGTATCATCAGGATTAGAAAGAACGGGAGCGCCAGTGCCGCCCTGGTACTCTTCACGATCCACAGCACGGCCAGGCACAGGATTTGTATCAAGGTGAATATGTGCATCTTGTAGGTCTGCACCCGGCGAACGTAGTTCGCGGTCCCGTGATGCTTCACCGGCATGAAGAACAGCTTGACACGGTCGAACAGCTGGACACCGTTCGTCGACGATATGCCCATGTACAGAAACACACCCAAAAGGACGGACATTGGTACGCGTCGCAACAGCGGCGCCATCAGCACGCTCACGCCGATTAATATGGCAACCAGCAGAGCGCTGACCCTTTGCTCCTTGACCTCAACGATGTGCGGCTTGTCACCGGGCGCGTGGGTTCGCGACATCACCGTCACCGCGGACACGTGCGTCAGCGAGCGGACCGACGCGGCGCAGCACCAAGGAGCGCCTATCAATCCGCAACCGACGTTCATCAAACACACCACAACTATGTCCATGTGGTAGCCGTTACCCTTGCGCAGCTTTCGCTCCTTCTTGTCGATGATCAGCCTGAAACAATTCGATCGAGTTTACCAGAATGTACACGAATATTAATTACAAATGCTTAAGTTACGCGGTCAGAACCCGCTCGCGACCCTATTATTCCATCGTCTTCGAACACGGCCAACGTAGAAAATGTGTTTCGCTAAAGATTATTTTTTTATATGTCCGGCGAACTATACTTCCCGAGACCGTCGCGTGGTTCGCTATTAACGACACTTTATTTACGGAATATATTCAACATGGCGGCTGTATGCATCAATGAAATTTCATAACAGAAGCGTCACCGGTTCTTCGATGAAAATAACTAAGCGGACGCGTCGAACGATCAAACAAATCGTTGACGTTTCGTCTTAAGAATACATTGGTGACGCGGAGCGGTCGTGCGGTCGCACGCTTCGCATTTTATAAATAAAATTCCGTTACGTGGCACGTGACTAAACGCTCTAAACCGTATCGTTTATCGACTATGCGTGCAAACGCCGAGCTTCTGTGTTTTTTATAACCGAGAGGTTCGGAGAGGAGACAATTCGCTTACTCGGAGATTTGAGTTTCCATGAAGACGAGAATATAAACCAGCAACGCGGGCACGATACACGCCATCGCCATCCACAGAGGAATCGGCTTGTGTATTCCGCCTAGCGAGACGATCCAACTTCTGCCGGGTATCGTCGGTGATAGGCCTTCGGGCACTAGAAGCTTCTCGGTCTTGACCTTGGCTAAGTAATCGATTAACGCGAACACAATGATGCTGATCGGCACACCGAAGTCGCCGAACGCTCTCCTGGCGCTTCGGCCGAGGTAATGGCTGTTACGGAAGATACGCAGATAATAGGCGCCTAGGAACGTGCCGAGACACAGGATCGTGCACATCAGAGCCGTGTTGGGTTGATTGATCAACAAACCGACAGCGTTCTGACCTGGTATCAAGATCCGAGGCTCTTCCATCGTTATCGTCTCGACGTTCCCGGTTTTCGGCGACACGACCTTCATCTCGGTGACATTCACCTCCGTGGTCCAGTACAAGGTCTGATTCGTTTCCGGGACGAAGCTGTACTCGTCCAGCAGCGGATTCTTCACGAAATAGTTGTACAATTTGATGAACGTCTCGACGATGTACAAAAGGGAGATAAGACCGGTGAAGATCTCCTCGGTGAAGCGGGTGAACAGTCGGACCAGCACGGATCCCTCGACGCTGGCGATGGCCAGCGCGATGATCCCCATCCAAGCGCCGACGTAGACTCTCACCGTGAGAAACTCGAGCTCGTTCGCCATGCAGAAGTTGTAGAGACTTTCGTCGAAGAGCAACAGGGGTCCGGTTGTGCCGATGATCACCAGTGGCTGGGTCGAGATCAGAGCCATCACAACTCCGGTCCACGAGCCGGAGACCAGGGTTTCCGATATGCCGATCACGTTGTGCGTCTTGTCGCTCATCAGACCTCCGAACGTAATCGCAGTGCACAGAGCGGCGAAGTACATGAATATAGCAGCTGCCAAACAGGAGGAGTTCAACCCGTCCGTAAAATCGGACAGATAGAAGGGATAGCGTCGTTTGATGTCGTTGATCAGGCCGCCGAACGGCCGCTTGGTTCTGCGCAGGGGATCGTCGTCGCCGGGTGGTTTCTTCTCTTCCTCGCCAGCGAGAAGAGCTGAAATTGAAATCGAAGAAGTTCTTTCGAAATCCAATCCGTAACGCAACGCAATGAAACGATGATAGGTATACAGATATACAGTAATTTCTCCAGGAAATGCTAAATTTCGGATTGCTGTGAATTTCTCTATACTAGTCCTACGCCCATGTAATTTATTGCTACATCGATAGCAAGAGTCGACGGAGTCGGTCGAGCGTGTGATGCGGCACGCGAAGTGAATTCCCGGAAGACAACACAAAATGGTTTGTTTAGGTGCGAGACAGGTAAGAAAAACCGCGGTATGTGGCCTCCGAATTGCTTCCGAATCGTGGAAAAAAGTTAAGAATAAAAAAGTTAAGTTACCGTTTTTATTCTAGCATTACTATGTACAGTAATTTTTCTCTAATTTGCGCTCAGATTGCGTACAAAAATGGACAATTTAGGAAGAGGAGATACGATTATTCGAGTCTTATGGCTCGTTTATACAGGATGTCCCAAAATTATGGTATTTCCGGGAAATGAGGGGTTCCTGAGGCGATTCGAAGCAACTTTTTCCTTTATAAAAATATTCCCCGAGACATCGTTAACGAATTATTAACGGAAAAACGCTGACCAATGAGAGGCGAGCTCGCTTGACGCTAGACGGCCGAGCTGATCAGCGGAACTGGGCCTCGCGCGCTCGTTGGGGCTTGGCTGCCGCGCGGCCGCCGAGCTCGCCTCTCATTGGCCAGTGTTTTTCGTTAATAACTCGTTAACGATGCCTCGGGGAAAATTTTTGTAAAGGAAAAAGTTGCTTCGAATGACCTCAGGAATCTCTAATTTGCCGCGTGTACAATAATTTTGGGACACCCTGCACATTGTCCATTTATGTGCGCAATCTGAGCGCGAATTAGAAAGAAAGAAACTGTATTCACATTAATGTACACCGGCATGCTGGCCGCTGCCATTTTTTGCCGACTGCCTCGAGCGTCTACAAGCTTCTAAAAAATAAGAACGAGACGCAAGGCCCGAAGAATCGCGGCTTGGTATTTTCAGATAGAGATCTGCCGATATCGATTCCGACCTTCGAACATTTCCGGGAGAAATTGTTGTACTGGCTACGTACCTTTCTTAACTGTAGCCTCGCTCTGTATCGGTTTACTCTTCTCCTCGAGGGCCTTGGCCTTGCGATTTCTGATGGCCTCGCTCTTGGCCTTGAGCTCGCTGAACGGTAGCAGAGCCTGTCTTTCCCAGTCTCCGGGCGGCAACACGATCGAATCGTCGAGGAACTCGTTTATGGCCGACAAGAGCTCGCGCCGTTCGTTCGCTTTGTACGCGATTTTGTGGAAGGACGTGTTGGCCATCAACGTGGCGATCGATCTACCGATCTCGTGGTAGTCGAGATCCCCGTTCCTCGGACCCAGCAACGTGAACATGAATCTCACCGGTATGTTGACCTCGGTGATCGAGGACATGACCACGCCCTTCGCAAGCCTGACGAACGCGATCGTCGGCTGGTCCAGAAAATCGACCGCGCCGACGTGCACGATCGTCGCTTCCGCGCCAGCCGGGATCCTCTTCAAGATGTACTCGTTCTGACCTCTCTTCAGGTCCTCGTTGCTGCTGGTATAAGTCAGCTCCTCCTTCATGTCCACCACGGTGTGATTGCCGTCCGTGATCACCTTCGACGAGACGATCTTTGGCTTCGAGTCGTGCAGATTCTATGGTCGAGAAACAATCGACAGAAATGCTTGATTGAAACAAAGGTCGTGTCTGCTGGCGCTCGCGATTTTTTGCTTCGTCGATGGTATGCGAACGGATGCGGTGGATAAAGATTCTCAAGTTGTGGTAGAGATAGAGAGATGGAGAGAAAGAAATTCGTCTTCGGTGGCTTCGAACGAACGGGAAAACGTTCGGAGTTACAAATTGTCACGTTCACCCGCAAAGCACGAGTCGCGATTCTCGCGATCCCGTTCCGATCCGACGTGTTTTCGTCGGTCTCGAACCAACGAAGACATCCTAACCGACGTCGAACAGGTTTATCGAACAGTAAATTCTCCCTAATCGAATTCTCCCTCGGCTTGGAAACGAAAATGGATAATTTGGGAAGAGGAGGCGCGATTATTCGGCTCGTTGTCATAGTTTCTGACAATCGGTAACTAATAAAATTCAGCCGCAAGGCTCGCATAATCGTATCTTCTCTTCCCGAATTGTCCATTTTTGTGCGCGATCTGTGCGTCAATTAGGGAGAATTTACTGTAATTCGAAAACAGAACCTTACGAGGACACGTGTAAGGCTTCGTGTCTCGGATCTTGGATCTCTGGTGTCCAATCACCGATCATCGAACCTCTGATATCTCGGGAATGAGAGTCGAAAGTGATCGTCTACCAACTATTGGGTTTGGGAATAAGTCGTAGCGTTTTTATATTTTCTTTTACTTTACAACGATTTTTTGCTGTTCGACAAAGTGTATAATATTCATTCGATAGAGCTCTTTCTGCACCGCAAAACTGTGCTAATCGTCTTTTTGAGTGATTTAATTTTTTATTACTTTCGAGGCTTAGAAGTGGAATATCCAGGAGGTAAAAAGCAACATTTTCGACACCTTCTCTTCTTCGCTTTTCATCGAGGCCAAAAAGCTGCCGAAGCAGCCCCGGACATTTGCAACGTATACGGAGAAGGTGTCATAGGCGAGTCTACAGCACGGAAATGGTTTGCGGAGTTCAAAAATGGCGATTTTGACGTCGACGACAGGCCCCGCAGCGGAAGACCTTCTGAATACGAATTTAACCCAGGCTCCCAATTTTTCGGCAAATCCCATTGAA